TGAGTTTTGTCAAGCTTTGTTGACCCTTATGAGAGGTTTGTCATGCTCTTAAAATCAAGATCGCGTACACACCACCCAAATATGCACTATTCCTACATTGGGGGTAGGCACAAAAACATGCTTTCCATCTAGATCCACCTAAAAATGTTCTACTCCTACACTGGGAGTGAACACCAAAAACATGCTTGATAGGTTTTCCATCCACCCAATAAAATGCTCCAAGTTCTTGTTGCTCTCTCAAAGTTTTGTTGTAGAAAAGAGACATGGGGCTATGCAAAAGTTATTCAAAAAAGAGAAAGAAAAGAAAAAAAAGTTGAGAAAAAATGGACAAATGTCCGAGATATGTAAAACAATGGGTACTCAGATGCCCGCCTAAAAAAGAGATGAATAAGATAGCCCTTGTTCTCTTGCAAAAATATTTCCATGTCAAAGGAGAGATTTGTTTCCAAGGAGCATAGTAGAATTAGGTTAGCCACCATACATATATCCACCATATACATCCACACACATGCACATCTTGATTTGATTGTATGACTTAACTCTCTTTGAATCCGAGGTTTGACTTTATGATATATGTATTGCAAGTATGCTCTAGCTTTCTCCACTCCTATGAACTCCACATAAGCCTTAGTGGTAGGAAGAGAAAAGGCATAACATCTTTATTGCCTTGGTGAGGATCCACAAATACCACATATACTGAGAGACTTGAGAGTGTCATACAATGGAATCTCTGAGTTTTATTTTGAAAACTTATGAAAACTCCAGAACAATGGTGGAACAAAGACCTTGAGATATAGTGCTTGACTTAATCGTTCTGTCTTTTAATTGCTCAAGACCTAAGTGAAGGCTAAGAAGCCCCATGGTTGAAGGTAATATGGGTAAGTTTGAAATTCAGATTAGTTTATTCTAATCCAGAGGAAAATGTTTGATTGAACACCTGTGTACTTTTGAGGAGTGAAAGCATTGTAGCAACCCCTGATCCATTGCTGAGTTTGGCTTTGCTCAGGGACTAGCAAAGGTTAAGTGTGGGGGAGCTTGTTGATGGTAGTTAACGTTCATCATAAACCATCAATATAACTTATATAAATACATAAAAAGGATCATGAACATAGGTCTAGGGGTTTAAACTAATAAATTCCACAAGTTTTGGTGAATTTGTGTTTGCAGGAGGATTTACTCAGAAAACCGTCAAGGAGGGCCTATTCGTCAAAACAAATCATGTTTATCCGCAGCGAAACCGACATGGGAAGACTCTAGAAGACTCCAAAAGGCAAACCGCCGAAGCAGAGGGTAGGTGGCAGCCATGTGGGGCCGGCTGGACCCACCTGTAGGGCACCCGACCCCCTAGGCCCACCTATCAGCCCTTCCTTCAAATGTCGGTTCTCCACCGCCTCCTAGATTGCATCTATGCCGTTCTTTCAAGTCGGTTTGATCTGAGGGTCCAGAATTGATGCTTTGGCCTATATATAGCAGCCCCTACCCCCCTCCCTAGAGCATCCCTGAAACTCGAATTCATACCTCTTATTTAGAGATCAAGACACACCAGGAGGATTAGGTCTAGACTCTCTAATGTAGTATATTAGTAGCTCAAAAGTGAGGGTCGAGTTGGGCTCATGCTCAAGTTCCGGATCTAGTCTTGGAGGCTCAACAAAGCCTTGTATCTTCACTTCCACATCTGGTAAGACTTGTTATAAATTCATCATATTCCTATCTACATGCTATTCTTACTTTTAATATGTATCTTACTTAGTTAAGGTTATCATACTTTTGTGTGCGGGTTCATAGAGCGCTTAGCCTGCTAGTTTATCGATTGGGCTAAGTAGCCGAGCCTTGTGTAAGCATGGTGCTTATACGATGCTCTGCCTGTGAGTACACCCTGTTCTCTGGTTGGGTGGTAGCAACGGGAGGTGACAGCCCCATCTGTTTTTTGTAGTCCACTCCGAATTGAGCAGGTTCTTAAATTATAGGACCGTAGTTGCGTCGGTAGAGTTATCTATTGTGGGTACTCTACCGTCTAAGTGGTGTCCCAAAGTGCACAAGAGTAGAGTTAGTCTTAGCTATAGTCTAGTATATATATACTTTGATCCTGTAATAAGAATATCATAGGAATCTACCTCAGCCGTTGTTCTCCCGAGTTGACTAGCTTACATTATCTTATAGATTTATGCCCTGAGTGTCATTAAGCATTACTCCTATCATTACATTTATCCCCTGCTCTAGCTATGTTGGTATGTTAACATATACTCCTTCGTTACCCAATAAATCTTTATTCCATTATTTCCATGTGGTAAAATATAAATAACGATACCTAGAATACTCCCGGTAAAATGCTACAATGGTATTTTGTGCACTTGCGGAATCTTTCATATTCTATTTGCACTTATAAATACCAACATGCGGCCTGAAAGAGGTTGAGAGGGAAGGAATCGAACGACACATGATCGGGGAGAGGAGGAGTAGTAGTCTAGTTCAGTAACTAGGGTTTTCTTAGATGATGGGCTCTTGACAACCCGACAAGTAAAATGGGTCATGCTCATTGCTCGTATTGGCACTATGAGCCAAAGGAATTACCCAAACCGGGCCCTATGCATGGACCGAGCCGACGCTGACCTATTTACAATATAGTTCCATGCCCTTAAAGGATCATACCTATACTAATAGGACCGAGCCTCGTGCTGCCCATTAAGCCCAGCCTGTTTTGACATCTATACGTGCTGTTCACCTCCACTTTGCTTACTTTCTTATTTTCTTTCCTTTTTTCTCTACATTTTAAGCTATGCTTAATAAAATGAATAATGAACCATTGCTCCGGTGGCAAAAAGTCAAAATCGAGGATGGTTTTTGAAAAGCACGCCATTTGTGAGAGTTGTAAAAAGGTAAAATATTCCAACATTGAGCATTCTTACAAAGTCATATGTATGCATTGAAAGCCCTAGTTTGGTTTTGGATAATTGATGAAACCTAGGACTAACCTTTGATCTAAGCGTGTGAATTAGATGAGGTAGTCCAATCCAAGTGGTGAAGCTAGATGATGGTCATGGTGAAGGTGATAGCCACAAAAGAGATGATCAAGTGCTTCACATTTGGCTAGTTGAGTTGTTGGGCCTCTATAAAAGCGTGGTGGCTGGCTCTTGCTCACTCTCTTGGCTCTCTAACTTGTCATACTCCCATGCCTCCCACTCATCTAGCTTGTGATTTGATCATCCAAAGTGAGATTGGGAGTGATCCAAGTGTATTTGCATTGTGGTTGAGCATCTAGTGACACTTGGGATCGTGTTGGCTACGGGTCTTCTTGTTAGTCTTGGTGGTTGCTACCACCTAGACGGCTTGGAGCAGAGGAGGAGCTTCGACACGTGTTGGTGATTGTTCGTGGCCGGCTCCGGTGATTGTGAGCGGTCTTGTACCTTCCCCGGCGAAGAGCCAAAAGGTAATTCTAGTGGATTGCTCATGTCATTGAGTTACCTCACTTGTGGATAGGTTCTTGCGGTGTTCAATTATGTGGACGAGGTTCGTGCAACACCTCTTAGCCACCGAACCACCAAGTGTTGGTCGACACAACGGGGACAAGTGTGCCGGCAAGCACGTGAACCTCGGGAGAAAAATTGGTTGTCTCTTGCCCTTTGGTATTCTCCCGGTGATTGAATTGGTATTCATCTTGTGATTCGTTCGCTCTTCTACGCGGCAGTATAATCACCATACTCACTCATTTATATTCTCGTAAACTAGTTGTAGCAAGCTCTTTAGTGTAGCTAGAATTGAGAGCTTGCTTTGTAGCTTAAGTTCATCTAGTGGAGCTCTTTAGTATAGCAAGTTTGAGAGCTCTTAGTGAGTAGCAACATAGTCTCGTGTGCCTAGTAATCATAGCAACTAGAATTGTTGGATATGTGGCTTGCAACCCTTGTAGAGCTAGAGCAAGTTTGCATTTTGCTATTTGTCATACTAATCAAATTGCTCTAGTGATATTGTAGATTTTTAAATAGACTATTCACCCATCTCTAGCCATATTAGGACCTTTCATGCATACAGATGGTACCAATAATACAACTCTAAGAATATTGATACGCATCCATCCACCAATTATTCTTTAAGTTTATCGCATTGAAATATACAGACTTATCGATTGGGCAATCTAGAGGTGTAAGGACATTGAGAAGAATAAAGAGTAGGACATGGTTCCCGAAGTAAATGTATAAGAGAGAAAGAAAATATCAAAGTAGTTAAGGTGATTTCGAAATAGTGTAAGATTTTTGATGCAAAAATTCCTCTATGTTATTGGAGCGAGATTTTAAAAACCGCTAGAAGAACCCAACAAAAATGCTCACAACTTTCTTAGCCAGTTGAAAAGTTATTGATTTACCGATTGTTTTTTAAACTATTGGAGATGCTAAGCAAATTACTCACTCAATCTAAAAATAATAATATTATTGTTTTTTCATAAGTCAATGAGTCTTAGATTTAACTAAATATATGTAAAATATACTAATATTTAGAATGTATAATAAGTATCACTAGATGAGTCACATAATATTTTTTATAACCCTATTAGAGATACAAATGTTGATTATATTTTATATAAACCTAGTCAAATTTTAGAAAATTTGACTTAGTTTAAATTTAGAACAATATGTTTTTGGAACCTGGTTAATAAATGGTTTAGTCTCGATCGAGAAAAAAAATGGTTTAGTCTCACTCTCATTGGTGTTATCAATTCATTAGCTTGTTGTAGCCCATTATTGGTCTCAGAAAATCATATGGTAAGCAATTTTTTCAATTCTTGGCTGCCAACAAACTCCTCGTGGCTTCCAATCCATGATTGATTTTCTCCGTCTCAAATTGTAAATTACGAGTCGTTTCGACTTTTCTATATAGTTTTTAATATGTATCTAGATGATATAATAGATACATAGCAAAAGTAAAGTACCTAGAAAAATAAGAATGACTTAACAAAGAAAATAACAATAATTTAGACGTGCACGTATGTAACACAGTACTTTGCACAGCTAGTCCAGCTGGACCTGGTACCACTGCAGGGATCCAATCTCTCCGTCGATGTCGAGCACGCACACGGACCTAACGAGGTACGAGACGGCGGCGTCGACCGTGTCGAACTTGGCGAGGTCCGGGGGCAGGGCGGCGTCCGCAGGCCACTTCTGCAGCCAGGCCTTGAGCCTTTCCTCCAGCTCCTCCCTGGACACGAACTCCTCGTCCATGCCGGGCTCCATCAGCACGTACGTGTCCGACTGGATGTCCGCTCGCCTCCTCCGCGCTGCACAACGAACCAACGAGGCCGTGCAAAAGCTCGCGGCACCGGCGCCACCCAAGGACGCCGCCTTCTTCTGCGAGCGCCGGCGGCGGGGCAGAGGCAGCAGCAGTGACCCCCATCTGCCTGCATCTGAGTTGAGGAGACAAGTCAGGTGCAGATGACGTGCACTGGTGCACTTGAGCACCAAGGAGAAATCGAGAAATCTTGAAGTAGAAAAGGATTAGTAGTCAGTAAGCAAAGCACCGGTGCCTTGGGAGTGGAGTGTCAGAGGCGCCGCCGCAGCTGCCCATCCGAGACTCCGAGTGGAGATGCCAGCGTTGGCGTGTTGCAGCCCGCAGCCGGCCATTCGAGTGGAGATGCCTGCACCGGAGCTGACGACCGTCCTTGTTGAGGAGGAGGCACCAGCGCTGCTGCCGTCAGAGTAGAGTGGAGGAGGCGCTGCTGCCGGCCGTTGGAGTGCGTGGAGGAGCGGTGGTTGCCGGCCAAGCGGATGGGAATTGGGAACGGGGAGATGCTTGCGCCTCCAGCACTCGATGTAGAGGGCGGAGGAGGAGGAGGAGGTGCCGCGACGCTCCGGCGCCCGTCGGAGTGGAGGAGGAAGAGGCACCGCACGGGTCAATGTGGATATCGGGAAAATGAACGACCAGAGCGATCGGTGGGAACTGGGATATGCTTCTCTTTCTAACGGTGATATTGGGCTGGACTGTCATTCGCTATTGGGCTTCTTTGTAGCAGTTCGATTGTGTTGGATAGCCCAATTGATCGTGATCCTATCGTATATAGAGGTGGATGGTCTTATCTCATGGGGTTGAGATTTCTTATAAATCTATGCAAAAATGACTCCAGTCCAATCCAGACAGCAAAAACTGACCTAGGTTGGTTTATGCATGGATTCAGATTAAAACTTCTCAAATCCATAATTTCTTCTTGTGGACTCCAAATTCAACGTTCTATGTTTTTCGATCATTTCAACGATAGAAATGTAATGATGGAGTCTATTATAGATTTTGAGAAAGTTACAAAAACTATATATATATATATATATACATGAATAATAAAATGGACATATTCAAATATTCTTTCGTAACTTTTCTTTTCTGAATCCATATCAGTATTTGAAACAAAATCATAAAAGACTCTTGTCCATAACCATGAGGAATTTGTAAGTTATTTTTTAATGACTAATGATATTAGATATATTAATAATGTATCTATTGAAATTATTTAAAAGTTATCTCTATGACAAATGATTAATAACTACTTATATAAAATTTATATACATATATTAAATATTAAGTTTAATTTAGTATTGTTTTAGTTTAGTTTGAATATTAGTACAATTTATTGTTGTAAATTATATTTATTTTATATGTTATTTATTTTCTTATAAATATTTTATATATGATTCATGATTTAAATAATTACTTATTTATAGATTTTTTTTTTATTTTTATATTTTTGTCGATCAAAATATTTGTTTGATGAATACATTATCTTCAATGTGCAACATTACTATATACTTTTATTTTGATCTCTATTGTATAATGACATCATTCTTCCAAAACTATTGTTAAAATGATAGATCTTTTCATATTAACCAAATCGAGTCTGTATCTAAATACAAATTTGAATTCAAACTTTTTTATCTTATATTTGTATTCTAGAATATATAAAACATTTGAATTTGTATTTGTATCTGGGGAAAAGTTCCATATCCAACCAACGATATCCAAACTCCGTCAGTATGTACGTATTCCACTATTTCCATTATCACTGGGAGGAGTGAGTATTGTGAGGTGAATACGAGGGATTAAATATGATCCTAAAGTAGCCCATGTTCGGCTTACCCTATATTCGGCTTATTCGACTTCTTTTTTCAGCCGGAACAGTATTTTTCTCTCACAACAATTCAGCCGGAACAATATTTTTCAGCCAGTTTCAGCCGAGTTTCAGACCAGCGAACGGGGCCGTACTCCCTCCGTCCTAGCACAGGGTCACGTTTTATTACTTAAGTTTGACTAATTATAAATAACAATGTATTCATGTTTATGATACTAAATAAATACCATAAGATTAATTACGAAATGTATTTTCATAATAAATTAGTTTAAAGACATAACTGTGAATATTATTCACTAAAAACTTGATCATGAATTAATTTTTGTGGCACGTAATCCATAGTTGTATCTTTTTAGGATGGAGGCAGTAGTAAAGTAAAAATTAGAATTGTGTTTTTTCTTTTTCCTGGACGGAGGCTAGTAAAATGATAGATGTCCCCGCCGGCGGCGGTCATTCACCGCAACTGCTTGCTGGATGTGTGTTTCCGCGCACCTCCCGAGACTCCGAGAGAGTACTACTCCCTCGCTCCTCGTCAGTCAGCCAGCCCAGCCGCCAGGCGGGCAGCAGGCTGGAACCCAAATCCAATCTCGCTACGCTACTTGAAGCTCGCCTCGCCCACCACCACCCGTGCCCGTGTCCCACCGCCGCCGGCGCTGGGGATGGCGGGGGCCAAGGCGGCTGCGGGCGGCTCGGCGGCGCCGCTGCTGCCGTCGCAGGCGGGGGAAGGGAGCTCAGGAGCCGCGGGCGGAGGGGCCACGTCGGCGCAGACGCTGGGGAACGTGGTTGTCTCCATCGTGGGCACCGGCGTGCTCGGCCTCCCTTACGCCTTCCGCGCCGCCGGGTGGGTCGCGGGCTCCCTCGGCGTCGCCGCCGCCGGCTCCGCCACGCTCTACTGCATGTTGCTACTCGTCAGTACGCTCGCCCGCCCCCATTCCTCCCTCCTAATCCTCACACTGCCTGCTGCTCCCGAGTAGGCGAGCTCAGTGCACATCAGTCGTGCGCTCTGTCCCCTCCCCCACCGACCACCGTTGTTCTGCTGTGTGCTGTTTTGCTGGGCCTGGCTTGCTCTTCGCCAACTTTGTGCTACAGCCTGTAGGTGCTGCTGTGCTGGTCCCTTCCAGTCTTCCAGATCCGATCATCCGAATGGCTCGTAAAAATAAAAAAAATAAAAATCTTCGAGATTTGTAAAGGCCGAGACAGCAGTCGAACACTGACGAGGCTGTCGTAGTAGTACTTGTGTATGCATACCCTCCGACACCCCCAAAAAAATAGCTTTCTAGTTAATCAATCTTAACTTTGGTCAAATATATAAAAAAAATGCGTTAATTTTTTATGCGTAAGAAGCATCATTAGATGAATGAATAATGAAACATATTTCGATAATAAATCTATTTGGAGCTTACTCCAAACCTAGGATGACATTTTTTTTTTGGGGGAGAGGGAATAAGAAATTTCCCAACTGTTGTACCGTACAGATTAGCCATTTGTGGTTTCCCATGTCTAATTTTCAAGAGAAGAACTCGAAAGGACAAAGTGTTAGCTTTCATTACCGTTTCATTCATCTTCCACTAAAACTGTGAATCCGCAGTGCTGCCAATTGAAACACGGCTCTCCTAAAGTGCTCAGATGTACTAAGATTCTGCCAACAGATTAGTCAATGAACCAAACTTGATTTTGCAATTTACCAGCTCTTGGTTCCATTTTAATTCAAAATTCACTGGTTTCTTTCTGACTGAAAGGAAAAATTCTTTTCAAGATACCCAAATATAATAGTTCTTCTTATATTGTCTGTTGAGATTGTGCAAGATTTTGATTGGATTTAGCGTAAGAAATCTGTTGATGCTGCTTCACATTTGATGGGCTATATTTAGATTGTAACTTACATAAATCAAATAAGATTTGGAACTGCTATGCCATGTCTTTGTCAACTATGAATTAGAATAACGTTAATTGCTTTCTGTTTAGTTTACTCAGTGTCATTTTGATTTTGAAGGTGGACTGCAGGGATAAACTCGAAGAGGAGGAAAGTGAAGAGTGCTCTCATGGTCACTACACATATGGGGATTTGGGTGACAGGTGCTTCGGGACTATAGGTCGATGCTTGACAGAAATCCTCGTCCTTGTTTCGCAGGCTGGTGGTTCTGTAGCGTACCTAATATTCATTGGCCAAAATCTGCATTCCACGTTCAGCCAGTTGATGTCACCAGCTGGCTTCATCTTTGCCATCCTCCTGCCTCTGCAGATAGCACTCTCCTTCATCCGTTCACTGTCTTCCCTTTCTCCATTTAGTATATTTGCAGATGTGTGCAATGTCCTTGCCATGGCGATTGTTATCAAAGAGGATCTTCAGCTCTTTGACCATCCCTTTTCAAATAGAAGTGCTTTTAATGGACTTTGGGCAGTACCATTCACCTTTGGTATTGCAGTCTTCTGTTTCGAAGGATTCAGCATGACCCTTGCACTAGAAGCGTCAATGGCTGAGCGGAGAAAGTTCCGCTGGGTACTTTCTCAAGCAGTTGCCTCCATTATAACCGTGTATGTCTGTTTTGGAGTGTGTGGGTACTTGGCCTATGGCGAGGCCACCAAAGACATCATAACACTTAATCTTCGAAACAATTGGTCGTCTGCTGCAGTTAAGGTGAGTACAGTTCTCTTAATTTGCTTGTTGCCATTGCTTACTGAAACATGATGTGGATTATTTGAGAAAGCCTTTGTGAATCAATCACTTTGCACCTTTTTTTCCTTTTGTGATTGGAAAATGCAACCTAATAGTAATACGATATTTGAAGATATAAGATCTAGCCTTATAAGTTACCAATTATGCATTTGAGATATCCTTTTTTTCTAAAAAAAAAGAAGTGAGTAATGTCACACTGGACACAGACAACAATGCACAGATCTATATTACTTTGGACTGTCTGAAATCCCATGACACATTATTGGCTTATGTGTTGGAGTAGCAATCATATTTGCAGTCATAGTGCAGCCCATCCATGGGATTATTATTTTTTTTCATATGGGAATTTGATAACAATAGATCGATAGTTGAATCATGATATTCTCTTAACAATTTGAAGTCAATTGACAGGTTGGCCTATGCATTGCGCTGGCATTCACTTTCCCAGTCATGATGCACCCAATCCATGAGATCGTCGAGACAAGATTCAGATCCAACGGATGCTTTCAGAAGCTTTGCCGCAACGTTGGTGGCGCTGAGTGGATAGGCTTGCACTCAAGCCGCATTCTTGTGGTGACGGTCCTGACAGTGGTGGCGTCCTACATCCCTGCCTTTGGGTCCTTCATCTCATTTGTCGGGAGCACGATGTGTGCGCTTCTCTCCTTCGTGCTGCCCGCTCTCTTCCATCTCAGCATCGTAGGCTCGTCAATACCCTTGTGGAGGTGGGTGCTGGACTTCGCCATCCTTCTCTTTGGTCTGGCTTTTGCCGGATATGGTCTTGTCATTGCTCTCTCCCCGCATTGAACGATGGCCCAATCAGTCAGAAAGTGCAGATCTGGAATCAGGATATCTTGGGATGGCAGGAATCAAAATGGAGATGACTGGAGTACCATAGCAGATAGCACGGCTTGGACTAGTGCGTGACTGAACAGATCCGCTTCAACCCCAACCATATAGCAGCAGTCAACTATGGAAGCTATAACCATGGTGATCTTTCAGAAATGAAGTTAACGCTGTGTATGCATGTTATACAAATCCACATATGTTACATTGAAATTTAAGAGTCATCTTCATCATGTATGCATGTTACACATCTTATGCCACATTCAGGGAAAAAAAGAACAAATAAGCGTTTACGCTGACTACCGCCCCGTTCGCTTGGCTTATAAGCCGTATTTTTTCAGACAACGAACATTATTTTTCTCTCACAACAAATCAGCCAACAGTACTTTCAGTTATGGCTTATCAGCCGAGCGAATAAGGCATACATGTTGGCATCCATCATAATTGATGTATGTTAAGGTGGTGTTTGGGACTGCTTCACAAACTATGCTCTATAAACTTCATCGTGGAGCAGCTTCACGAAAAACTGGAGTTTGTGGAGCACCTCTTTAGATGCTCTCATAACTCCACTCTTTTTCCTCGAATAGAGTGCGTAGAGCTGAAATTGTTTGGCTAAAAAAAACATGGAGCGGAGCTAAAAAACGTGGAGCGGCGGAGTCCCAAACACCCTCTAAATTTTAAAAAAAACAACACCAACTATTCACGTTTATCACGTAGGGATAGGGATCGATGTATATGTGTATGTTTGTTGGATCTAATTACACGATATTATGCCTATTTCCTAAAAATAAAAAATAGGCTTGACTTTGCATATATTGAAAGCATATAAAGGATGCACGTATTTATCATATTATTAGTTTAGCGCTCGGACGCCCGAACAGATGCCAGCGTTTGGACATGGCTTCCACGCCCCATCCCTGCCTGATCCGCAGTGCCCGTTACCGTTTGGCCCTTGGCTGCGCCCGCAAGTTCCAATCTCCACCGTGCCCGCGTCACCCGTGGCATCACGTCCCCGCCGTTCCCATGTCCGCGGCCTCCATCTTCGCCATCGGCCCATACACCAGGGAGCAGCAGCAGCCGGCCTTCTCCGTGTCCGTGGCCTCACCGAGGCGTCTACCGTGCCTCTCACACCCCCACGGGAGTCTAGCCTGCACCTGCTGGCCACCACGCCGTTGTCACCGGAGGTCCCCTTCGCTCGCTTCCTATGGTCGTCCGTCACGGCAGACCAGCAGCCGCCACACTTCTCGGGCAGCAACACGACCACCGAGGGCTTGGGTTTCCTCCATGCCTACATTCAAATCTACTTTTGCAACAACCAGATAAAACAATTGCAACATACGTCTAAAACAGATGAAACATTGGGAACATACACTTGCAACATAGCCATTGCAACATATGCAACATCCAGATCTACTTCTACAACACCCAGATGTAACAATTGCAACATACGTCTGAAAAACAGATGAAACATTTAGAACATACACTTGCAACATAGCCATTGCAACAAATGCAACATCCAGATCTACTTTTGCAACACTCAGATGAAGCACTTGCAACATACGTCTGAAATATTTGGAACATATACACTTGCAACATACGTTTATAGCCATTGCAACATATACACCATCTAGATCTACTTTTACAACACTATATGAAACACTTGCAACATACATCTGAAAACATCTGAAACATAATTTTGCAACATACGCTTTAAGCACAACATCTTCTTGTTGTCCAGAGGGCGGGTGGGATGGCCGGCGGGCGCCCAGACGCCGTGGAGAACGCCAAAGCGACATAGTCGCGGTGGAGCCATGGAGGGTAGTCATGGCGCGGTCGCAGCGCTGAGACGTGGCGGGCTGGACGAGCGGATATAATTGAGGGCGTGTGGACGAGCAGATACGAGTGTTGGGCCGTTGGGTGTCACGGCCCACCAACGGGAGCGTCCTCAAGCCCAGGAATTGAAGCCGGCGTCCGGACAGACGTCCTGTAGGAAGCATTTCCGATTAGTTTATAGAAGGTAAATATCTGATGATATCTCTTAGATCTAGCTAATTAAATGAACGGTGCACGGGCACTTGTGAGACTACTTGAAAGATTTTCCTGATTATTTACTTATTAAATTACTTCTATTTTCTTAAAAATTAAGGGTTTAAATTTATTTGAGGTCCTACCTCCTTGTTAGTAACTGAAGTATCATAGAAAAGCCGAGAGATGTTCATATGTGAGTTCTTGAGTATCCCTACCTTGGTTTCTTTTCGAAGCGTATTTGCAAGATTTGTTTTAGTCTTGTAGCGATGCGTTTTATGTGCACATGGACAACAGAGCGTGCCAGTCCACTCATTCCCCAAACGCGTAATAAGGGCTGGTAGGCATGTTGCTTATCCGTTGCGGCATCACAATTCACAACTGAAACCGACGGCTGAGCCTCGTCCATACTGCCTGGGAAGAAGACCCTGCATTGCTACAGAAAAGACTCGTCCAGTTCACATATTCAAAGACCTAACACACCTGAATCATATGAGGGTCGCCCGGACGGCTCGAGGACTGAGTTGCAGCGAGGGCTGCCAAACCCCGCCTAGCCGGGTTCCGCAGAATTGCCACGAAGACCTACAAACACCGCCCGGAGACCCATGACCCATCAAGGGAGATGCACCACAAACTCGATCAAGGGCTTGTAAAACAGCCCACGTAGGCCCGTTCGCTGGTCTGAAACTTAGCTGAAACTGGCTGAAAACACTGTTCCGGCTGATTTGTTGTGAGAGAAAAATACTGTTCTGGTTAAAAAAAGAAGTCGAACAAGCCGAATATGAGGTAAGCCGAACATGACCTCACCCACAGACTCCACCGAGAAGCTTGTAAAACAACAGATATGGGGTTGCAAGGGATATGCTTTAGAGAAGGCATAAAAGTAGATTAATTGTGTTTTGGATCCATTGCATTCCTCAACCGGCCGTGAGCCTCTCATATATGTGTCCACGTAAGCGCGAGCGCGCACACACTTCCGAGTTTTGACTCGTATTGGGTCAAACCTGGCCTAGTCGGTTCTACAGGATGAACCTTTCCGGAGCCGTAATTTCTTTATCCGAACTCTAAACTAGGTGTTCTATATAATTTTTTTTATCGTCTCCATAGGATGAACTCAATACGCAAAAGCTGATGCGCTGCCGGTCGCGCTACGTGGCTAGCGCGTGACCAGCGCGTGAGTGGCCCGGCGGCCTGGCCTGCCATATGTGCGTTAGCCCACATGTTTGTCATACGTGCGACAGCCCATATGTCTCTAGGGTGTGTGTCAGCCCACACGTTTCTTTTTTTTTGTTACATTACAAAACAAATTCCTCTCCGGTTTAGACTTTAGGGCGTGTATGTTTATACGTTTTGCGAAAAAATAGAAAAGAGATGTATTTAGTACACCCAGAGTACGTGTTTCTTTAGGACGACAAACGCACTTTTTATTTGTCAATTTCAGTTTTATTTTCCTGTTGTCAATTTTAGTTTCAATTTTATGTTTCATTATTTTGTTTTTGATTGTGCCTACCTTACTTTTCATTTTCTATTTGTCAGTTTTAGTTCTATTTTCTGGTTGTCAATTTAAATTTCAGTTTTAGGTAATTTCAATTTCAGTATTATGTTTCATTTTTTTGTTTTTTATCGTGTCTACTTTAGTTTTTAGTTTCTGTTTGTCAATTTCAGTTCAATTTCTTGGTTGTCAATTTCAGTTTCAGCTTTTTGGTAGCTATTTCAATCAATTTTATTTTCTGGTTATAATTTTAGTTTCAGTTTATTATTTTAGTTTTTTTCTCATTTTTTTAGTTTTTCCTTTTTAATTTTTAGTTTTCAGTCAATTTTTTTTTCATTTTTTTAGTTTCAGTTTTCAGTCAAGATCTTTTTTTATGTTTTTTATTTTATTTTATTTTTCAGTCACTCTTTTAGGTTCGAATGTGTTCCTAAATCCTGCATATTAGTTGCTTCATCTACAATGTATAAGTTGCCACAAAAAGGTAGTCATTACACACGTAAGTTGCCACAAAAGAAAAAAACACATACACATACAAGGCAGATAGGGTTGGGATTAGGGGTCGCAAGTATTAGGATTAGAGGTTACAGAAAATATTAGGATTAGGGGTTGAAGATTGGGTTGTATAATAACTTTCTCCTCGGTTGACAGCTTATTTTATGTTTATTTTAATAATTTGCTCCTCAACTTGTACAACTATAGTATTACATGGTAGCAACTTTAACATGTTAGTAACTTCTTTTGATTTTTTTTCTCCGAGCTTGTACATACTATGTAACAACTAGTATATTTTTGGAGTAGCAACTTTAGTATTATATGGTAGTAACTCATTTGACAAATCTCCTAACATGTATTATACATAATTTGCTAGTAAAATAAAATATTTCGAAACATATACAAATAGGGTCTAGTTTTGTTCGCCTCGTTACGTATAACATACCGGTTCAAACGAAATTAAAAAACAGATACATCAATCAAAAGTTATAGCAGTTTGAAAGAAAAAGTTTTCTTTTTTTTCTTTTTGCGTCAGCTTGCATACACACGTGTCTAAGGGTGATAATCATGTTATCGACCATAATTCTTGGTAAATCTTCGTAGACGTTGTCTTCTGCTTAGGCTTCGCTAGAATCGCCTCCACTTGATGCTCCATTGATTTCTCTTTGCCCATTCGCTGCAATCTCCTCTTTTTGCGTGTGAGATAAGCCTGAGGACACCACCTTGGTTTTTAAGATGCAGAAACTTCCTTGCTGTCCTTCTCACCTTCATTGCGATTTGAAGATGTAGCTTAAACTAGATTACTGCTAGCAACAAGCGATTGTGGTGATGAATTATAGTTTGAGTATGTAACAAGATATTGAACAGTGTATGGATGTGCAAGGATATAACCAAGTCCATGTAGTAGGCCTGTCGTTCGGGGAGGGTATGGGCACACCCACGCCTACCCATA